AAGAGAGTTTCCCGTAAGTTTTTTTTCGTAAACTTTTCACCCCCTCGCAAACACTCGACGGGGATAGAAAAATCGTGTCGACGATTTTTCCATCACCTCCCACTCCTTTTTTCCTTTCTCCTCCTCGTTTCACAAATCTTCGGTTCCGATCTCACTTCCGCGACTACTTTGCGTTTCCATTTACGTCGCTTCGAATCGCGTTCAAATGTCTTTTCTTCTCGACTAAATTTCACGCTCGCTCGGCCCGGAAGCGGGCACCGGCTGTCGCCAGCCGACGCGCCTCGTTATACCATACCCTGCGATCTATCCACGCTCGGCGAACACCGGCCGAGNGCCAAATCTTGGATAGGCGGGGAATGCCGGTCGTTCTCTCGAGCGGAAAGCATCCATCCGACCGGTCGACTGTCCGGTTCACGGCTCTCGATATCTCGACGCGACTCCGCGTCGTATCGTATCGCGTTTGATCCCTCGTGTTCGACGATTAGCGAGAGGCTGAGTGGAGAAGAAAGAAGCGCAGCACTCCGAGTAACCACCGTGTTGCAACGCTGAAAAATCGGAATGACGGAACGTCGCTTTTATCCTCGACGATCGAGCTTCGAAAGTCGTTAAACTTTCGAAACACCAACGATCGTCCGCCACCTTTCGTCGATCCATTCTTTTTGTCCTTTGCGTTTAATTTTTTCTCTCTGTCTTTTCTTACATTTTTCCTCCGTTTCTAGAATCTCAGTCGCGATATCTGGTACACAACTACGAAAACGGAGCTTTACTGCGGATCGAACCTGTGAGGCCTGTCCGAGACAACACGATGTACGAGTGCCTAGCCGAGAATGGAGTCGGCGACGCCGTGTCAGCGGAGGCGCAGCTCAGAGTCTACGAAGGTACGTCGCCTTTTTTCCCTCTTTGTTTTCTCTACCTTGATCCAACTCTTAGCGGACGAAACTTGGGAGAAATTTGTCCCGAAATCGGCGATTTCGAGGAGGAGCGGAGAGATTCGAGATGGTGAGAGACTCCTTCTTCCCAAAGTTCTGTACGTCGCTATCGACATTATCGGGGAGGAGACGATGGTGGAAATTTAATATTTAACGAAAGAGTGGTGGGAACAGGTGGCGCTGGCGCGGCACGCACGATCGGCCAAAGGTTTCAACGACGCGGTAGAAGTTTGCAGAGGGGGAGGAAATTCGTGGCAGGTGGGAAGAAGGGAGGAAAAGACGGATCGCGAAAGGGGGAAGGAAAGGAAAAAGATGATCGAAATTGCGAGAGAAGGCTGTGTAACGAGCCAAATTCCGTGGAAATTAAACCGAGTCTTTCTTCCTTCGCAATTGGGTCCACCAGCGCGATCTACCTTCTCTTTCTATTTATACGGAAGAGCGAACAGCTTAATGGCGCCCAGTTCGGCGACCAGGCGGAAGGCGACGTAATAGAAAAAAAAACGGCCGCGCACCTGGAAAGCTTACCCTTTTCCGGGAAGAATCTCTTAAACTTTCGCGAAACGCCTTAATTGGCTTGGCCAGCTTTTTAATTCGATTCCAACTTCGCCTCGCGGATATTTTTACTCGCAGTTTCTCGTATTCTTCTCGCGAAAAAGAGTAAAAGAAGAAGGGAAAAGAACCCTCCTTTGCGAGAAGTCGTTCTCTCTCTCTCTCTCTTTCTCTACCCCTTCCATTCTCCGTTCCCTGTCTCGTCCTTTGCGTCATCCCTCGCAAAAGAGAGAAAAAAAAGTCCTTTTTCTCGAGAAACCGACTCGATTTCTCCTCCTCTTCTTCTTCTTCTTGTTCGTAAATTATAAAATATTCATTTTTCGATCGATCTTTCGCAATATTTCTTTTTCTTCGATCGCGCGAATTATCTCACGATTTACGCCAATCATACGGACCTAAGCCTTTTCTCCTTTTCTCCTTTTCTGAAAGAATCGATCGTCGATCGACGCGTGTAGGGATACTCTTTCTTTCTCTCTCTTCCAGTGACTCCAGTTTTATTACATCGCTACGCCTATTGGTACTCGGAGCGGAAGGTGGAAAAGTTGGGAATTTTCGTGGACGGGAGATCGGATAAACGGGGGATAAGGTGGAAAAATACGGGAGGTTGTTCCGGGTTGGGGAAATGGAGTCTCAGCCGTGTAATGAGCTCGCTCGAATATTTAGGCATCCGACAGAATGTTGGCCATACGCGGTTCGTTATCGAACGCATCGCCGCGATAAATGCCCGCGAACTCGTATTAAAGCCGCATTCGGCTAATGCGATTACTCGAAGCAGTAATATAGCAATAACGCAACAACGTAACATCGGTAAATGCGGTTAAAATTACACGGGAAGCTAGCGAAGCAATCGATAATCGTTCTGCCCGGAGTCCACACTTTGTCCAGCCCCGGTGTAATTACCTTGCCCTCCTTTGTCTACGATACCCAATTATTCCACCGATTTTTTTTTCAACGCGATACCAGCTCGAAAATTATCGGATCGAGAAGGTGGGCGCGAAAATTACGCGAAACAAGCCGATAAAATCGGTTCGAATAATAGATAAAGAGTCTCGGAGGAGGAGAGAGAGAGACTGTCGCGATCCGTTGGAATATTAATTTCCTCGGATTCGCCCGCCACCTTACGAGAGAGAGAAAAATTGGCGGACGAGAGAAGAAAGGGGGAGGAAAGTTGTAGCGGTTATCGGAGCGATTCGAGAGATCGGCCAATTATTCGACCGCCCAGGCTTCGCTCGCGCTATTATTCCAATTACGGGGGGATTAATCCATAGTTTCCAACTGTCCGAACCGGAGGAGAAGCGTTATCGGGAATCTCGTTTATCTCTCCATTCGGACGAAAAACGTTTCGTCTAGGCGGGAATAACGCGACGTTGCGAGTTGGTTCGAGCGTTTCGAATAAATTTTCGATCGAAAGTTAGGGAGAGGGAGGGAAGGGGAGGCGCATCGTCGTTTCGGCGGATGACGATGGTCTCCATAAAGGGGTGTACGGTCCCCGTCGTGGCATTAGCCTAATTTCGAGTCCCGCGGCAGGTGGAAATTAAATTTGCACGAGGGCTAAGTGGCATCTTCGGTTCCCGTTGGCTCGCGCGCTGCTCAACTATCCAGCAGCCGGAGTTAGCGGAGCCGGCGGATAGG